CCAGTTACAAGGTATGAAAACGGTTTGGTTGAAATTCCATAATAAAAACAAGATTATTTTTCTCATTTCAAGAGTAAGGCCACTTAAACAGCTGCTCAGTTTAAGAAATTTATTTATTGACACTAAAGTGTAATAAAACTGCTGTCAAGTTTGACACAACATGCACAAAAGCTGGAACTAAAAGCACATGATAAACATCAAATACAGACCCATTTGAAAAACAGAAACAGCATAACTCATTCACTTTAGGCCAGGTCAAACAGATTAATAGATCAGCATCAGACAAGTATCAGTACACATATCTTCACTGTGGCAATGCTACAATCACATTCAACTGTCAGATTTGATAGAAAACTCAACAACAAAACTGTCCAAAACAATAACCTGATAATACAGTTCATGCATGTAAAGCAGTGTACCTTTTATAAAACATCTGTTGAACTCATGTGTAGTCCAATTACATCACACAGGTAATATTTCATGACTGCATATGTCATATCTTTGTGTGTGAAACTGTAATATGGAGTGAAATCTATAAGATTATCAGCAGATATCAGTTCCGTTGCTTGTGCCATGTTTGGAATCTCTATCTTATATGACATGTAATCTCTGTCATAACAAATGGTATTGTGCTGCTGGAATTCAAAACAGTACAATGATGAATTGATCACATAGATATTTTTCACAAGCCCAAATATAGGTAAACCACTAGAACCAACAGCGCAAACAATTAATGACCTATCCCTTATGTATTTGTTACCATTTAGATTAAGCCATTTAACACTCACTGCATGGTTTATTTCATCATTTCCAAGGAAGGCCCTCATTTTTTCTTTTAAGTATGACATGTTGCTTACTTCTGAGGTTGGTCCTAATGTGCATTCATTGGAAAAAATGGGGTGATCAAAACTATCCACATTCTGACAACATTCATACATTTGATTATGCTTTATTAAAGATTTGCAAACATTTTTAAAATTTATTTTTGATGCCCATTGTTTGAAAAAGCAATGTTTCGATTCAAATCTCATGCACATATGACGGACCATTGGTCCCAAACGTTTAATTTGGCTTGGTGTATGAATCAAATAATGTTGTTTTGGTGTGATGTTGTTATCTGGGAAAAGGGCTTTCATGTGATTCAAGTGCTGTTCAATGAGGATTTTCAACTTGTTAATTGTCTGCAGACTGATGACAGGAGCAAGTAAAATCTGAACTATCTCAATGAGTTCAAGAATGAATGCGTAGTGTTCAGTACCTTTGGCTGCATCAATCAGAAATGGCAAAATTTTCAGAAGAACAATCATTTGCCCCGAGGACTGCTTCAACTTATTGTCACTGGAAGCTAATGTACTGTAGGTAATAACACTTGGTTTATCTCTAATATCAACTGGAGAGTATGGGAAACCAGTCATTGCAGCATTGAAGAGATCTAAGTCTAGCTCTCCCATAAGAACTAAGTGTTTCAACACACACTTTATTTCTAATGGAGCAATCCCTTCAAAAATTACATGCATCATGTCTTGGGGTGTTTGTTGGATCAAGTTGAATGCTGGGAAATTAATAAGTTTGCTTCTTCTGTTTATTCCATATGTTGTTTTTAAGCTGCTTCTTAGATACTCTGTGTTGGCCTTCTCAATTTCGCTACATTGCCGGACATGTCGTTCAAATGTCCGTTCCTCAAAGTTATCCTCATCAAAATAAATTTGCATGTCCTCAAATGAACATTCACACTGCCTGCATTTACTATGAGCAAACCCAACACCCTCTTTAAACCCGCAAAGCTCATGTTGCGCCAAAGTGTCTCCACATAATGAAACTAATGCTCCAAATATTTCACGTTCACCATTTCCAGTTTGAATTTTAACTCCATTATATAGCTTCACTAAGTCCTCATGCAGCCTTTGCAAGATTCCATCTACACCACATTCAGAAAGCGCACTCTTTTTTGCAATGGCAAGTAGACGAATGGCAGCTAGTTTTGATCGATATTTAGGATTAATGTTTCCCAAA